AGAGAGAGAGAGAGAGAGAGAGAGAGAGAGAGAGAGAGAGAGAGAGAACGAACTTACAGGCTGCAGTTGAGCTAACCCAACAGTGGCTGCACATAAACAAAAAGTTCAAGAATCCAATAGTTGTCCAGTCCACGAGACTGGATACCACAGCTGGTCTTCAGTATACACTGGAATCCTGAAGAATGCAGTGGCTGGCAGCAGAGGGTGGTGGGTCTTTCCACCTCAAAAATAATTAGAAGTGTATCTTCCCACTTCAGATGATTTAGTTAAGCAAAAATCCTTCACAGGTGTGCCCAGCCATTTTGGGGTTTTAGATCATTCCAGATACAGTCCAGTTGTCTTCCAAAATAACCATCATAAGCACCAAGATCGCAAATGGAGGCAGCAGCTCATACACTTCCCAAGTTCAGGTCAGAGTCTGAGAAGGAGTGCCTCCTTATATATCTCTTCTACAGAGCCCTACTCCTAATGTTATAATGCAAGCTTAATCTAGACAAGTCTGTGCTAAGGGGTGAAACTGAAATGTGTGAGATAAGTGAAAACCAACTGAGATCCTTCTTAAACAAGTTAGAAGCTGAGCACTTAAAAAGCCCAGTTGAAAAATGTCAAAGAAGTTCACACCTTCAATTCCAGCACTGAGGAGGCAGAGGCAGGTGGACCTTGGAGTTCAAGCCCAGCTTGGTCTACATAGCAAGTTCCAGGACAGCCAGGGCTACATGGAAAAACCTTGTCTCAAAAAAAAAAAAGATAAGAAAAAAGTAAAATTTGAAAAAGGTGCCTTCATGGGGAATAAATTTTATTTTACTTTGGCGTGTCCAAGTTGAAGCACTTTCCATACTTATAGGCAAAGGCCTAAAGTCTTATATGTTTTTAGAGTTCATGTGGAAAACATAGAGCACACATCTAAACTTTTATCTGAATCACTGTACATTGTCTTCCTAACTATAGTCTAATAAAAACTCTATCTAAGGACTGGCAAAATGGCTTCCTGCCAAGGCAAAGTTTAATCCCCAGAACCCACATGGTAGAAGTTGAGAGAACTGTCTCCTCTGAGTCATCCTGTGAGCTCCATGTGTGCACCACCATACTCAGATGCCCACCTACCCACACATACACAAATAACAATACAGTTTTTAAAATTCAGAAAAATTAGTCCATTCCATACTTTGCATTCTTGTAGCTTATCTGCTCACTTGTTTAGGAAAGTTACCTCGGGCTCATTTGCACTGATAATTCCTCAGTCATTCATGTAGCTCATGACTGCAGAAAAGCAAAGATTACAAGCTTCTGGAAGAAGGCTTGTCAACCAACAGTATAGCCAGTGACCAAATGAACAGCCTCTCTGCTTTTGCTCACATGTCCATGTTTTGATTTATTGGAACAGTTACTTGAAAGGATGCTAGAGTCCATGAGCAGTAGTCATAATAGTAACAGTTCTTTTTCTCCAGTTTTTAAAATATTCCCTCTTCAACAGCTGGAAGATGTGATCAGCAGATCCGTAAATGTATTCATGCCTTTAACTGATCCTTGAAGACTTAGTTTGTGCTGAAACACTACCTTGTTAGAATTAGAACATAACTGAATAATGTTCATATCCAAGATGACTAGCTTTGACCGGTTAAGACTGACGTATTTTGTTTGGTTTGTGGTAGCATCGTTTTCTCTTCCTTCAGTTGTATTAAAAGCCCACAGGGACTGGGGCGTAGCCAGTGATAGAGCACATCCCTCGAGTGTGCGTGGAGCCCTGAGTTCACTTCAAAGCATTCAAAAAACAAACAGGCAGCTCTCATCATTCCACCTGCACACCGAGAATGACATGTGATAGGTCACATGCTTTCCTCCAGCTCTCTGGGGTTGTGATAATGTGTGGAAAGTGATCTCTAGAATAGAGAAGAAACATTGGCTTCATCTATGCTTTCTTCCAGGGACAGAGCCCTTCCTGGGAACTTAACTAGAAATAATTCTATTAGAACAAATCAGATGAGTCATTACCACACCTGTAACTCAGGAGAATGCCAGCCAGAAGGCTTGCCTGAGGGCTGTGAGGGAACTGGCCTTTACCACACAGGAAATGAGCTCCAGCTCCAAATGCAAAATTCTCCTCTCCACGGCTTCAGCATTCAGTGCACTACAACATTGAATTTTAATTGTTGGTTTCTCTAACTCAATCCTACCCTTTGGTATAGAAGCTGTGTTACTTAAGTTTGTGTCTAGCACATTGCACCTTAGCTTATATATGGTAAATGCTGGTAAATCTTTACTGAGTGAATTAAAAGGCTTAGTATTAAAAGTGAAAAAGCTTTCAGCAGTGGTGGCACACACCTTTAATCCCAGCACTAGGGAGGCAGAAACAGGTGAATCGATGAGTTCAAAGCCAGTCTGGTCTACAGGGTTTGTTTATTCCAGGACAGCCAGGGCTACTAAGACTAACATTGTCTCAAAAACAGACAAACAGTTAAAAGTAGTTAAAGCTGCCTACTGTATCCTCATATTTGATCATAGAGGCACATGGATATAATAAGATGAGAACATTGCATAGCAAAAAATGAAAATAAAAATGAAAGGGCAGTACAGGAGCCTGAAACCCAGCTCGTACACCGTGCTATTGTCAACGTCCTGGCTTTCTCACCTCACTCTCCCAACTAGGAAACATGGCTCTAAATGTCTTGTGCACTGCAAAATGGGGGTGAGTCGCTCAGCCTCCACTGTGATCGCCTATGCAATGAAGGAGTATGGGTGGAATCTGGATCGAGCCTATGACTATGTGAAGGAAAGACGAACGGTGACCAAGCCTAACCCCAGCTTCATGAGACAACTGGAAGAATACCAAGGGATCTTGCTGGCCAGGTGGGTCATGCGTGGTTTTCTGTGCCTCTCATCCCATTACCTTTGGGAGTTAAAATCACCTTCAGCTACTCTTGCATCATATGGTAAATGACTTGAGAATCAGTTTCTTGAACTGTCACATGCTGAAATCCTCTGGCTTGATAGATTTGGTTTGTTTCCCTGTGAGCAGTTCTAGGCTGTGTTTTTAGGGCACAGCTGTCTAAAAGCAGTTGCAGCTGATGCCAGGATTTGACTCCAGCAAGTCTCATGACTTGATCTTGACTCTCAAATCTGGGCTATGTTTCCACAGAACAAAATGTTAAATAGCCTTCCAGCCTATCCACACAGAGAGGCCACCCTCCAGCCCTGAAGAATTGTGAAAATGTGACCACAACATAGTATTATGGTTTCCACTAACAACCCCTCCCATTTACTCAGCATTTGGAATGATTTCATCTGAGCCTCTGTCCTGAGAAGCTGGGAAAATACACAATTGTCCTCTGTTTCAAAGAAGTTCTAGGTCTCTAGCCCCAACTTTGATGACACTTTCACATTAAATCAGAGGATAGGACACGGAGGTTCTTTTTGGCACAAGGAAAAGGTACCTAAGCTTTGGAGGAGAACATAAATATTACATGTTCCTAGATACACACACACACACACAGCACACATAACGGATGTTAGGCAATGTCCTCATGTGACCTACTGAGAGGAAGGACACTACATGTCCTGCCAACTTCAGTATTTATTCTGGAATCCCAGGCTACTGCAAGCTGTTGGGTTGGTTCCCTTTCCCCAGTGTCCCTCCACCCAATATGTGGTTTTTCTTAGATGTTAAAGGAATTTCAGGGGGAAAAAAATCTTAAATGAGGATATGAAGGGCAGCATAAACCAGAAAATCATACTTCCTCTTTCCTTTTCCTTTCTTTTTCTCTTCCATCCTGACTTCCTGAGCCTGATTCATAAAGGGAGGGCAAACTCCAGACAGGAAAAAACACAGAATTTGCATCATTAGATCTGGTTTCTGTTCCTGGTTCACTGGTTTGCTGCAACCTTCAGAAGTTACTAGTGTTGCTGGTGTTTCTAGTCCCCATCTGACCCCCATCTGTAAAAGTAAAACATCAATATGAAGTTGACAGAGGCAGTGCAGTGCCTTTAACTCCAGCACTTGGAGGCATGCACTTCTCTGTAGGTTCAAGGCCCGCCTAGTATACATATCAAAGTTCGGGACAGCAAGGGCATACAGAGACCCTGTGGATGGATGGATGGATGGATGGATGGATGGATGGATGGATGG